GATAACTTCACAATATGAAATTCGTCTAGTGTGGCATGCGATGATCTTTCACCCTTTTTAAATTTTAACCTAATAGTTTGGGTGTATTTTACCCCTCACTATACTAAAACTTCTACTTACCAACTCCCTGTGTCTCAACTTCATGAAATATAAATCCAATTATAACTCAAAATGAATTAATCCAATGCACACCAGACTGCAACCATGTGCCATTTTGGCGAACCTTCGTCGATTCCATCACCTTATCAGATGAAGTGGGAATCGGCCGAGGTGTGCCAAATGGTGTTTAATCTATAAATATGATAATGGGTGACGCAACGTGATGTGATGTAGAAATTTACATGTTCATATGTATAGTACAAGAACAAATTTTAAATTAATTCATAACAAACGATATTAAATTTTAACAAACCTTTTCTAGCCTATTCCAAAAAGTATGTGCTGTGTGATTGTGGTGTCGAGGGGGAGGGGGGGGGGGGGTGGTTAGTAAATTTAAAAAGGTCCTATTATGAGCAAAACATATATCAAAATCTAATTTCAGACGCGGATCCAGAAATTTTTTCCGGGGAGGTCCACCTCAGTCAAAAAAAAAATCCTATCCCAGAAATTGACAATCAAAAAAAAAAAACCTAAAGTAAATCTCACCCAAACGTCAAAAACCTATATCGTAGGGGGTGGGGTGGGAGTAGTGGTGACTTCTATTGCCGCAAATGTTTAACTTTTCATACTTATTTTACACATATTCGTGTTTACCAGGGTGGGGATCCGCATTTTCCAAGGGGGGTCCATTGTAACTTTTTCCTTGTTTTAGTATATACATTTCTTAACCTTGTAAATTCCAGGGGGGGGGGTTCAGACCCCCCCCCCCCCCCCCGACAGATCCGTGCATGAATTTACATCATTAATAAAATTCAGACTGGTATATAATGAATTAAACATGTATAAAATAAATATAAGAGGTTCTGAGTTATAGGTAACAGGGTCTGAGAATTTCATACTCAATTTGATGAATACATTAAAATTATAGAATTGTTTTGACTATTTCTTTGGAAAGCCGCCCAATATGTAGGAGCGTGTATTTAGAGGCAAACACCTTAGTGCGGGTATTACTGTCTCATGACAGCATCTAGTTTGGTATTTCAATCGGTACCTTTATTTGTAGGTTTTTTTATTATATAAAGGAGAACTATTTAAAATCTTCGCTATAAAAAGATGTATTTTGCGGGGCTTTCATTTAACCAATCAGATATCTTGACGGTACTTTATCAACTATAAATATTCATTCCTTTCATTCTTGTCTGTCCATTATTTACACAATGAATTGACGACGGATATTTCTGTAATTTCTCGATCACGATAATGAACACATAGCAGATGAAACCGGTCGGCAGGGGATGCTCAATCCTCCATGGCACCTGATTCCATATCTAATGTTTTGGAGGTCTGCGTTTGCTCTGCTCCTATTTTGTATTGTTGTATGGACTTTTGAGCTTGAATACTGATCAATATCTCCATACATTTCATTCCATTTATTTATTGTATCCCTTGATATAAAAGAAACCACATGATATGATAAATGTATATCTGTTTCATATATGATCCTTATAACAGAAGAAAGACATAAATAGCAATTTTGCATCAAACTTTCTTATAAAAGAGAATATTTCAGCTTTTGTATTATTAGCTTTTCTTATTTATGTAGCAATCTATCAAATTACCTGTATATGAAGTTGATATCTCACAGATTAATTCGAAATGCAATAGCATTTTTCTAAAGCAAGTGATTGTTTACAAAGTTGATGATGATTAAAGTTGTTAACGATAATGGTTGGTACAATGACCTTGGCAAATACTATCTATCGGTAAGTCAATAGTTGAGTTGTTTGCTCTACTCCCTCATTGCAATCGTTTAAATGGACATTTGAGTTTATCATCTTAAAGACAGCTCCTGACAGATAAGTTGATAAGTTAAAAGGTCCTAAATATAGGGAACCCCGGATCCATCAACTGGCGTCGGAATTTCATAAATATTATGGATTCCGTTGAAAATTACGCCAGACGATGGGCTAGATATGAAAAAGAAGACATTGACACCTTGTCAGAATGGATTAAATGTATCAGATCCATGTTAAAGTCACGTATTAAAAGATTGAGGGGCAAAATGAAAACCATCTATCCTTCTGTGTTCAATAAACCAGAAGTGAAAAAAGAATTAGATAGATTACACGATCAGTACGTACTGGTTCCTGCCGACAAAGCAGGTAACAACATTGTCTTCGTTTGTAAGGCTCATTATATAAATTGCATTCTAGAAGAACTTGGATTTAATTCTACAAGTGGTAATCCTACTTATACATATACTTCTCTTTCTAAGGAAGAAATTCTTCAAAATCACCTGTCAGTTTTGAATACTTTTAATATTCCACAGAGCCAAAATGAATTTGAACTACCTTATACATATTGGATTCCGAAACTTCATAAGAATCCTTACAAACAAAGATACATTGCAGGTTCCAGTAAATGTTCAACCAAGCCTCTTTCGTTACTTCTCACTAAAATATTGACTGTAGTGAAGGAAAAACTTCAAGAGTACTGTACAACTATATATTCAAGAAGTGGTGTAAATCAGATGTGGATACTTAAAAATTCTAAAGAACTTTTGGACAATTTGAAATCACAAGACTTTACAAAAATCAACAGCATAAAAACTTACGACTTTTCAACTTTATACACAACAATTCCCCACGACAAATTAAAATCCAGGCTTTTTGATATCATTGACAGCTGCTTCTTCAACAAAAATGGAACACGTAAGTTTACTTACCTCGTCATTGGTCATTTGAAAAATTATTTTGTTAAAACAGATTCTGATTGCACACATAAGTACTCTGAAGTTGACATCAAGAAAATGCTTGAGTTTCTGATTGACAATATCTATGTGGTTTTTGGAGACCAGGTATTCCAACAATCTATTGGAATTCCCATGGGTACAAATTGCGCTCCGTTATTAGCAGACTTATTTTTATATTCATATGAAGCAGAATTTATGCAAAATCTTTTACGTGAAAAGAAGAAAACACTTGCTGTGGCCTTCAACTCGACATTTAGATATATCGACGACGTATTGTCAATTAATAATGATAATTTCCATTCCTACGTCGACACGATATATCCTGGTGAGCTTGAGATAAAAGATACCACAGAGTCCGACACTTCTGCTTCATACTTGGATATTTTACTTGAAAAAGACACTAATGGTAATCTAACAACCAAGCTATATGATAAACGTGATGACTTTAACTTTTCTATCGTCAACTTCCCTTACTTATGCAGCAATATACCTTCATCACCTGCATACGGAGTATTTATATCTCAGTTGATTCGATACGCAAGAGCATGCTCTACGTATGAACAATTTCTTAAACGAGGTAAATTATTGACAAGCAAGTTGATGAAACAAGAATATCAACAGTCTCGTTTGAAGTCATCATTTCGTAAATTCTATGGTCGATACAATGACCTTGTCAACAAATACAATTTATCATTGAATGAAATGCTGACGGACGTTTTTCATACCAATTGTTAGTCCATTATTTATACACTGAATTGACCACGGATTTTTTCCGTTATTTCCTGATTATGACAACGAGCACACGGCGGGTGTGACCGGTCGGCAGGGGATGCTCACTCCTCCATGGCACCTGATCCCACCTCTGATGTTTCGGAGGTCCGTGTTTGCTCTGCTCTTATTTTGTATATTTGTTTAATGGACGTTGAGATTGAATACTGTTCGTTATTTCCATATCCTTCTTAATGTACATGGATTTCAACAACCTTGTTAAAAGTAAGTATTTCGTCAATTGTATAGTCGTTATAATGAACATGATAGTGATTAGAACCTCACGGGTTGTGATTGGCTAACTTGTTTGGTACTAATTGTTAGGCTTTGTTATTGATTTGATGCTGATTTTGACTATAAATGCAAAGTTGTCTCTACCTGATCAATACATAGGGCCTATAGCTGACATAACCGGTCGACAAGAGATATAAAGTACTCCTGGGCACCTGATCCCACCTCTGGAATTCCCAGGGGTCCACGCAAAGCCATATGATAACCTCACAGATTTGTGTAGTTTTAGATTTTTTGCAATTGATCATCTTTCGGTTTTTGCACCATTTTCATATTTACCCAACGAAAAAAAACGGGTGATTTTCTTTAACACATACAGTTTTATATATGAATTTACTTTAGTAGCTTTACCATCTTCACAAAAAAAATTGATATGTCGAGAGTGTTGGATTTTTAAAAATATTAAATGTGATAACCACAGAATAAAGATGTGGATGACCGTGTATTCTTTATTTTTCTTCCAGTACTGTATTGGAGATATCTATTTTAACTGCCCTTGTTTGTATTGAAAAAACAGCAATGATGACGATGGTAAAAAAAAATATCAAGTTCTAACTGCCAAGTGTTATCTAGTGGATGAAAGTGATAATGATGAAGATGGCATTCCTTTTAATCGTCGATTGATTGTGATAGATAGGGATAACAATGACAGGACCTACGCAGTTACTGTACAGTGCTGAAGTCAGAGTGAGGATTCTTATGACCTACTTTTATAATAATGGTTATAATCATGAAGACCCACTTTAATAATGACCTGTCTACTTTTAACTAGTGAGTATTGAAATGATATTATATGTTATAATGATAAATTTTACTAACTTAATTTAATCGACTCCTCTAGTTTGGACTACTGAGTGCTGAAACAACATGAACATGAAGTATGAAAATTTATAATAATTATTATGACCCACTTTAAAAATGGCCTGTCTGGTTTTATATTCTGCTTGTGGAAATAGAAAAATTACATGTTTATATTTAATGTTTTACATTTGATGTTCAGTGAAGCGAAGTTTAAAGCGATGGTAAAAAAACGATTCCGGTCTTTGATTGATTGGCCCTCAATTTGAATAATTATGCACACACACACAAAACAGGAACAATACCACAGAAGTAATTCACTTAATCTAATTCCACTAACAGCGGTATATAAAAGGTGATTTAGTTTCCTTTTCTAAAGGAAACATACCTTACAAGAAAAAAAGGTAGGATTTATTTACACATATGTTGTCGTTGGTAGTAAATTCTGAATGTCTGATGTGTTGATGATAGAAGGATTTGATAGTCAGTCTTATATATAAAGTATAAATCAATTTTAGGAATAAAATACATTTGAAAAAGTTTTATTGTATCCATCCATTTCACAGAATTAAAGACACTCTTTGATGATGCTGTACTTGGTGTTCGTGTCATTTCTTTGCCTTCAGGCTACAAACTTGGTTTTTGGACAAGGTTAGTTATTTTGTTAACTTTTCATTTGATAATCATCATATCTTAATTTTAAAACTTCTATTATCTTTAAAACGTATGCTCTATTTGTTACAGAAAACCAGAAAGTATGCAAAAACTGCTCAGAATCTTCCAATGAGCCTTTTTCAATTACAAAAAAGTAGTGTTATAATGTTTACAATCATATACTGTAAATCCCTTTTTATTCGCGAAAACTTTATTTTCGCGTAATTACGCGAGATAGTGTGCTCGCGCAAAATTTAATTCTCGCGTATAATAACATTTCTAAAGATTATATAGGGTATTAACCACAATTCGTGAAAATTTTGTCTCGCTAATCAAGAGTCAATGACTATCTCGCGAAAAAAAAGGTGTCGCGAAAATTTAGTGATCTACAGTACTCTTCTTTTTTTCCTGAGATTTTGATTGAAAAGTATGTTTTAGAGGTCCGTATTTGCTTTGCTCATGAATTGTATTGTTTCAATGGTTTTTAGACTTGAATATCCCCCTATATATATACTAAGTAATTTAAAATATGTATGTACGAGGACTTTTGAGAATTATTTTTTCATAATTAATATACATTTCTACCTTGAGAAAACATTTATGATGAATATAAGCTGGAGACATATCATAATTTTATAAATGTTAGAACAATATATCTATACAATAAGTACCCAGCACAGTAATGAAATATGATCTAGAATCTGTAACTACTAAGAACTTCATCCTGGTCGGCCCACAGTAATGAAACATATGGGGATATCGAACATTATTCAAACTCAGAAGTCCATTTAACAAAACCAAATTGGAAGAGAGCAAACGACGGACCTGCAATACATGAGAGGTGGGATCAGGTGCCATGGAGAAGTGAGCTTCCCCTGCCAACCGGTCACCTCCGCCGCAAGCTCCTTGTCATGATTTGAAAATAACGGGAAAATCCGTTGTTTATTCAGTGTATAAATAATGGACTAACAATTAGTATGAAATTAAAAACGTCAGTCAGCATTTGACTCAATGATAAATTGTATTTGCTGACAAGGTCATTGTATCAACCATAGAACTTGTGAAATAATGACTTTAAACGAGACTGCTGATGAAAATGATTTTAAACCAACCAAATTTTCCATCGCTCTTTCCAAGAAAACGCCTCCATTACTTTATCTTATGTTTAATCTGCAAAAAACCCTTGCATTGACTATATATAAGAACGGTCACCTAATTAACCAAAATTTAATCGGTAAATGTATTAATAAAGCCTATTGCATATATTCCGACTTTTTAAAGGCATAATGATGTCATATAAATTGCAATGTTTACGCCTGGATGAAGTCATAATATCAACTGCAGAGATGTGCCTATATATGTTATGAATAGTTCGTTTGTTTTATTGTTTAATGGATTTTTGAACTTGAATACTGTTCCTTATCTTAATTCATGTTTTTATTTCTTTACAGATGTTTGTGGAAACCAGTATTACAATAAAATGTTTGGTGTTTGCTGCAACGGGGTGTTAAATAGGCGAGCGTGGGGTAAGGATTGCTGTGGAACTATGGCATATAACTCAGATTTTGATACTTGCTGCAACGGATTTGTCACTAGAAATAGCAGGGGTGCAAGTTGTTGTGGAAATAGAGCATACAGCCCTTATTATGCTGTTTGCTGCAACGGGGTCGTAAATTCACGAAGACGGGGCACAAGTTGCTGTGGAACTCAAGCATATAATTCTAGATATATGAACTGTTGCAATGGTTATATCTGTTAAATCCATCTCGAAATAAAGTCATTCTTGTTTTCTTGTAATTACTTGCACGTATGTTTTTCTTTTAAATGACTGACATCTTTCATTCTCTGTGTATGTCATTATTAACACACCGAATTCAGGACAGTTTTTTCTGTTATTTCCCGATCATGACAAGGAGCACACGGCGGGTGTAACTGGTCGGCAGGTTATGCTCACTCCTCCATTGTACCTGATACCAACTCTGATGTTTTGGAGGTCCATGTTTGCTCTGCTCCTATTTTGTATTGTTTTATGGACTTTTGAGCTTGAATATAAAACAAGAATACAATTGTTGTTAGTTTATTTTTCTGAATAATTATAATGAACAACACAGAACATTTTCTGAATTACTGAATCGACAGGGAGGCTTAAAAATCATACACCTGTGATAATGCACTATTACCGCATGATTAGGAAAAGCGATCAATTAAGGGCAAACCTGAATTCATCACATTTGTCAAATGGCAATAAGTGGTTAATTGTTCATTGCTGTGAAATAGGCAAAGAAAACGGAACTGCTTAATTAAAATAAATACAATAAAATATAGAGATAACAAAAATATTCACGCTCAAAGTTCATTTAACGAAGAAGAAAGACAGACATCTAAAACAACAGAGGTGGGATCAGGTGCCATTGAGGAGTGAGAACTCCCTGAAGACCGGTCACACCTGCGGTGTTTAAATTATAGTCTAGCAATTAGTGTGAAAACTGAGTATACTCCCACAAAAATTAGGGGATTGACAATTGAAAAATTGAAGTAATCATAAAGCTATCTTGTAAAGTAATAACTTTTTTATTCTTAGTAAAATATCCAAATATGAAACAGATGTGTCAGACTCTATGCTCTCTTTTTTATTCAAGATCAATGAGATATAGTCGATAAATAGATGAAAGTTACTATTATAAATTGATAATATGTCGATATATCAAAATCTTGAGCTGAAGACCACATCAATCTTTTTTCTTTTCCTGTAGAAGATTTTGAAAAAAAATCTGCTTCTTATGAATAATAAAATAGGTCTTTAAGAAAGTGCACTTGGTATGCATTAGGACTTCCAAAAGATTGATGGAAGACCTGATCTCTCAAAAATCACATAAATCATTGTCAATCAGAAACTCAAACATATATCTATAAACTTCAGAGTATTTTTATGCAAAATCAGAATATTTTTAACATTTTTTTCTTACAAATGACCACTGACAATGTAAGTATATTTGCTAGTTTCATTTTAATTGAAAAGGTTGCCTATGATTTATGTTATGATATCATTGATTTTGAAAAAAAAAGTGATTTCAAATTTTAAAAAAACAAAAAGTTGGGAGTTTTCAAGTATCGATAACTGAATTAACCACTTCTCAAATATACTGTTGCACAGTACTCTTGAAGTTTCTCCTTCACTAATGTTAATATTTTTATGAGGAGTAAAGCGAAAAGCTTGGTAAAACATTTACTGGAACCTGATATGTTTCTTTTTTTGTAAGGGTTTCATGGTGTTTTGGAATCTAGTTTAAATATGGTAATTAAACTTGTTGCGATTATAAAATCTATTTAAAACTAACATATCAATTTGAAGAATTTCCATCTTAGAAAGGGATCTGTGGTTATAAGTTTGAAGTTTATCACTTGCAGAATTGATTCCTAACTACTATATGAAACACAATTCAAATAATGAGCCTTACAAAGACAATGTTTTCACCTGCTTTGTCAGCATGGACCAGTACGTACTGATCGTGTAATCTATCTAATTCTTGGTTCACTTCTGCATTGCCGATGACAAAATGATAGATGGTTTTATATTGCCCTCAGTCGCTTAATGCAAGATATCAACACCCATCTTAAGCTTACACATTGAATCCTTTCCGACAATGTGTCAAAGTTTTCTTTTCCTTATTTGATCCATCTTCTGGTGTTATCTTGTTCTATGGAATTCATATTTATGAAATTAAAAATATCGGTGTTCAATATAAATCTGTAGAACGGAAAGGTAATTTGGCATACATAAAAATTATTACACAACGCTACTTTTGTTCTTGACTTTTAAACTTCTAGGGGAAACTAAATATATCAATTTCTATCGACAACGTTTTGTCACAAAAAAAACAATAAATGGTTGTTAAACTTAAATGTCGACTGCACCTCGACTAACAATGGTTTTCTTGGGGTGAAAAATGTCAATGTTACACTCAACTAGATAAATTTGTTTTATTGCCCTATGTTGAAGTCAGAGTGAATAAAGCCAGCGTGATTGAATGTACATGTACTATTGCCCAATGCTTCAACCTTTAAAATTCTAACGTACTACTGTGTCAACCCTTGTTGAAACTAGAAAACTGACCAGTCAGCAAGGGCCCCGCCATGGGGTAGAATTAAAAGGGTGCAGCTTACAGAATGATTAATAAATGTACGAAGAATAAGCAACAGCAACTGTATTCTTAAAATTTCAAGATAATTTCTGAATATTCAAAAACCTGAAAATAATATCCTTGTATTTACATTAGGCAGTAAAGAACAACTTAATATTGAATGTACCTGGTATATTTAAAGAATTATGAAGCTTGTGTTATATAAAATGCCAGCCTTCAATGAATGCAAATATCATGAAGGCTTGACCTTAACTTCAAACAAACAGCAGTTGCAGACAAAGGTTTTCATTAATCTTAAAGTGACAGATAAAGAAAAGCCTACTAAATTTTCTGCAGCAGGCTAGATAATTAATCCCAAGGGATTAATTGTACCTCTCTCATCATTTTCTTCTAAATTTACAACAAGACTTTTTCAGTATTAATGATAGAATGGGGTTTTTATACAACTACATTTAAAATTAATAATATTCTTGAATTAATGTATTAAAAAAAAGTGAAAAAAGTAAATCAAAAAATCTTCTTTAATCTATTTCTTTTTTTTAGAATTCAATGAAATCATAACTATCAAACAAAAATAAATAATAAAAATTTATATTTAAATCCACATTTCAGAGTGTTCATAGCATTCCAAATTGATTTAACTTCAAAACAAACTTCATTTGCAGACAGAGGTGGTAATTAATCTCAATGTGACAGATAAAGATAATGCTCTGGATTTTCTTCAGGAGGAAAGCTAATTAATCCCAATGGACTCCTAGCAGCATTCATTTTACAATGGGAACATCTTCAGCAGTTATCTCTCTTTGCCAATGCAATTCTTATATAAAGTTAAGGAATCTACCCCACCACCCCAGCTCCAAACCAGGGGACATAGAGAATCAAACTTAGAATCAAAATATGTATTTCTGCCTACTGAACTACGGTACCAAATTTGTACTTGATTGGGCAACCATAAAAAAAGTTGTCTGTTCATTCTTATGCATAGTTAAGGAATCTACCCCATCACCCCAGCTCCAAACCAGAAGACATAGAGAACCAAACTTAGCATCAAAATATGTATTTCTGCCTACTGAACTACCATACCAAAATTGAACTTGATTGGGCGACCATAAAAAAAGTTATTAGAAAAAAACAGAAAATTTGTGGACGGAAGAGTGACAGACGGACAGACAGACAGACAGACAGCTAGACAGACGGACGGACAGAGTGATTACTATAGGGCACCCGCAAATCCTTGCGGGGCCCTAATTAATATCATAAAAATTGAACCATTTAAGGTATTATTCAATCTTACAGATTACACCAATTACATACTGTAACAATCTGGTAATCCTACTGCAGAATTAAGTTCATGTGAACAAGTATATGAACCTGTGGCTTACTGATGTTTGATATAGAACCGTTTGGGCAATACAGTTTTATTTTTATTAACATTAGCTTTCTGATTCCTCCATTAAGTTAAGAGATAGTATACTGTGTTTTACTTTACTTTATTGTGATCTATAGGACAACATACATAATAATGATAACAGAGAAATAATGGGCAGAGGTTCATAGCCTGTAACACTCACCTGGTTCAAAACTCAACAAAAAAATAAAATAATATATTCTACAAAATAATTCATGAAATAATTACTCATTATGTAATTTCTAACTGAATTTCTGTATTAACTTGCTACCATTCACAGAAAGCTAATGCTCTGAGTTGGTAACAGTTTTGACAGCAGGAGTACATAAAGAGCTATAATGACCTTAGTCACATACTGGGTGTGAACAAGATAATTCTGTTTACAATTCAGTGGATAATAGCTCATAAATAAACAAGTTATCAATAATGATATGATCAAATGAATTTCTCTCTCTCTCTCTCTCTCTCTCTCTCTCTCTCTCTCTCTCAGGAGAGAAATATTGCCAACTAAGTAAAACAAAACACAAAACTTCTTTCTTTTCATCCAATTTACAATATACAGTAACAGGATTTCTCCTCTAACATTCATTTACAGGAATGTTTATAGACATATGATCTACCACATTTTTATCTCAAAACACAAGGAATTTAGAATTATTTTAAAAATCTTTCCTTGTTATATCTAATAATTCTATATAAATTAAGCAGAAAACAGAAGTAAATCATAATAATAAATAAAGTTGTCAATATGTCCATCAGAGAAGACATATTGAAATACATGACTGTGTGACAAGCCTGGTACGAGTTGGCCATTAATGGATGCTATTTCACTGATACCATGGTAACAGTCTAGCTGGCAATGGCGTAGATAATCAGCGACACAGCAATGATGATAATCACCAAGACAACCACAATATACAGAGTTTTCCTGCGAGATTTCTTCTACAAACAAAAAAAAATAACTGTTTTTAATATTTTGAGGAGTATGCTAGGATACATGTATTTCATCAAGTAATGTGATTTAATAAAAAGATCTTCTTGTTCTCTTCAATTCTCAAAATAAAACAAAGAAAACCTTTTTTTTACTAAATGTTTAAAAAAAAAAAAACATTGGAAAATTGTTAAATCAGTTTAACAAAATTACTGCATAAAAAGAAATATTCACTATTTTTTTTTAAACATCAAGCTTAGAATCTTTAAAACATATTTTGTTTCACATTTTTTATAAGATGAAAATTTGCATGCATTCAATACAGAAGAAAAGCTGTCAGATATAAAATTGTTGGTAGGGCTGGGATGATATAACTTTTTCTATATTGATACGTATCACGATATTTGAACCACGATACAATATGTATCACAATATATTTAACTGGTTATAAAATCTTTTTGCATTGAATTAAACAAAATATTTCTTAGCAAATAAGAATAATTTATTCAAAATAGATATTTATGTTGCAAAATAAAAATATTTTACTCAGGTGGTGTTAATTATTTTTCATTTCATATCTTTATTTATATTTAGGTTTTTTATTTTATATATACATGTACATTGTATATTAAACCCCAATTGTTAAATAAACAATGAAAAACAGAAGTCAAATTTTTTTGCGATATTTCAATATTTCTTCACATGTATCGATATGCATATCGTCCTCACACAGAATCTATATTATCAATATCTCATACAGCTGTATACCGTCCCAGCCCTAATGGTTAGATGATGTGAAAGGACGAAATTCAGGTCAAGACTTAGATGAAGATCCGTCAATGACAATGGAGAAATTTCCCTATTTTTACAGAGGGAATGAAAGCTACTGAAAGAATTCAGGTGGGAAGAAAGATAACTCTTTTTTTTCTTCCATACCTGGATTAAAAATGAAAATATAAAACTGTAATATTTTGATTTTTTTTTATATAATAAAGACAATGATTAACCTTTGTGTTCTTGCTTAAATTACAAAATCTTATAAATGTACAAGAAAACCAAACACCTTGCTTTGTTGCACAGGAGTCTAAAGTTTATATCCTTAATAAAAAAGAATCCAGAAAAAAAAAATTCCCACCCTCAACTTAATTTTTCACCCTCAACTAATTTTTTTTAGTTGAGGGTAGGAAATTTTTTTTCTAGATTTTTTTTTTACGATAAAAACTTCAGACTTTTTTCCTTTCTTGTTGCCTGCAGTAAATTGTAGTTAGAGCTATAGAAGGAGGAAAATGAAGATGATACAAAGTGATTACTTTGAGGTGTTGGTATGAGGAAGAAGGCAATGACGAAAATGATGACATCTCAATCCACATTACAACACTTACCACTACCAGTGTCGTTATGAGGATAAAAAAATAATCCTTTGAATTAAAATTATTGATGTGAAAATAAAAGCAATGATGATGACAATGATGACCTACCTAGTTATTTTTAGCGCCCAGCGTTGCAGCGATGATGATAACGATGACAGCTAATACTACGACAAGGATGACAACACATATACATTTTTTTCTGCGTGCTTTTGACTGAAATAAGGACGGAAATAATATTCAAAACACAATAATTAAAATAAAGATCATTGTCAAAAAACTGAAATTTCAACTCATTAAAATATAAAAGACTTTTATAGGTGAGCTTTAACTGAAGTATGTAAATACAATGTATATCATACAAATAAATGTTACATAAATGCTTAAAATAAAGATAATAGTAAAATTCTACTTCAGGCAGGAAGTTAAAATTCATGCATCCAATTCATTTCCCCTTTACATGCCTAACGAAGGTTGGGTAATAGAGAATATTAACAGAAAGTAATAAAAAATAAACTGATGTTAAAAATTTGCTGAAATTTCAACTGAAATTCATCTAAAAAGTCCAAAAAATGAAATAGATTCACAAAACCCTTATACATGAAATCATGAAACAGCTTGAATTTATATACGCATGAAAAACCAAAGTTTTATCAATTTTTTTTAGGTGAGGAGGTTTTTTTGAATAAAATGTAATTTTTTTTCAAAAGAGATAAAGTTGCACTTTGAAACGTCACAATTAAAAAGTTAAACAGGTCAAGCAAAATACTTTGCAATGAGCTCGAGGCAACAACTTGAGCTACAGTTTGAGTTTCAAATACAATGACTTTTACAATAAGAAATTTGTTAGTCCTGCAAAGATACCGAGGTTAAATGAATGGAATTTCAGTAGTTTAATTTTTTTAATAAATAGAATGTAACTGTGAAAAAAAAACATAAAAGAATATAAAACGAAAAAAAAGATGCTAAAAATAACGAAAATGTCTAGAATTGATTGGAGGAGAGCGTGCTGATGTAACCATGGTGATACCTGGTAGGAGCTGGCCAGTAACAATTGTTTCTGACCGCTCTCGACGTGACTGTGAGAACTCTCCACATTCGTCTCTATGGAATCTGAAACACGTCATCACAATAACCTTTCTGCACTCACAGTCCTCTAATCAAAGTCTAGCTGTCTACAAAAACTCTCCATTCCAAGACCAAAAGACACCCCCACCCCAACCCCATAAAACAACACATAGAAGTGTTATCAAATTCTTTGGTCTTGGAAAACAAAAGACTTTTTGTGTACAACACACGTGACCTAATTTTTTCACCCTAGCCTGTTGAGTTGGGACCCTAAACCTGACCTACACCCTTCCCTGTCCTGTACCCCTTTCAGTTGTTAATACCTGATAGGTCTGGGCCTGTGACAATTGTTTTCTCCCTTCTTCCACATGAGTAGCTGTGGTCTCCACGTTAGCTTCTATACTATCTGTAATAATACTATCAACGTACTAAAAGTACTGAAAGACAGAACTCAATAGAGCTATGCTAACGAAAAAATATTAAGCTGCAAGTACTGACAAGGAAAATCAGCCCTTTGGTACCATTTTTAGTAAAACTTATCTGAGCAGTGAGAATTCAAATAACACTTCACTCTATATCTCATTTTGAGAAATGTTTTATAAATATGAAACATAGTTTCCAAAAGAATAATTTCAGCCTAAATTTTTCATAGGATGCATTTATCAAGTCCTCAGGGGGGTTACTTTTAAAAATGAACATTTTTCAAAATAAGTTAATTTGGGCATGCTTAAAAAAAGACTGATTTTAGGCATTAAGGAATAAAGGTGGTCGTCGATTTTACCAGGAAAATGTATTTTTCAAGAAGCACCCAGAGGCACCTGTGTCTCAGATTTCATTTAATGTCAAAGTCATGGCTTTTCCTTTTCTATCATAAATCCAACAGCATTTAATCAAACAGTAATACTGATAGAACATGGGGGAAAAAATACAGTTACAGCAAACTCACTTATATTAAAACTGTCCTTAATTGCAAACTTATTTTTGTTCTCTGTTCTTTTAGAACACTCATGAAATTATCTGATATCGAAAAATTAAATATATATGTAACCCTATTTTTTTTTTTTTTTTTTTTTTTTTTTGTATTGCACATGCATAAAAAATTCATAAAGAATAATCCAAAATTTGAAAATGAACATTTTTTAAAAATATAAACTTACAAGTTCATATGATGTTTTAGGGCTCTATAATTTTATTTTCACTTTTTTGTATTCATAAAAAAAGCCTTGATACTACTTTTGTATGGATTAACAGTAAATATATTTAGTTTGGGTTTTTTCCTCTTACCTAGCATCTCTCCTTGTTCATGAACAAGCATTCCCAAATCTTTAAAGATCTGATTCACGTCTGTGATATCACTCTAAAATACACAAGGTATGACTTGATAGATAAAACAACACACATAAAAGATAAACAATACACAATGTATAACTTAAATAAATCAGTAAAAGGCAGTTAAGAAGAACAAACGAGCAATTATCTATGCCACCTTTTCCATCATGATTGACTACATTTTATACATACTGGAGATAATTAACTAATAATCAAACATATTTTATTTGTATAAAGAGCTTGTTCTCTTAAATACCACAAGAGATGTTTTAAAAACACTTATGCCCCCCTCCACTACATTGGAATTTTTCCAAGTCCAAAGGGGCATAAATCTGTCAAAAAATGGTGCCATTGTACTCAAAACAGAACTTGACCTAGATATTTATCTAAAAAATCTGTAAACTTAATTTCATTTCAGTATGTACAACCTCTGCAAAGGAAATAAACAGAAACTGCAAGTTATTGGAAATTTTTTCCAAGTCCAAGAGGCATAAATCTGTCATAACTGGAGTGATCATGCCCCCCCAAAAAAACTTGTCCTAGAATAAGATATTCATCTGATAAATCTGTATACCAAACTTCATTTCAGTATGTGCAAGGGTTGTGAAGAAAATGAAAAGAAACTAAATGGACCAGCAGACAGAACGACCGACAGACAGCAGGCCAGCAAAGCAATATACCCTCCTGTCTTTGAAGGGGGGTATAAAAATAACCTCTTCATGACAAATATGAGTACTAGGCAAGTCTTTATTATCATTTCACTTAAAACCAAGTCAATAAAATATTTGATGCGTCACTTATTTTCATTTCATTTCCTCTCCTGATTCTCCTTATTTTATCTGTAGCACTATGAAGGATCAGAGTACGTCCTGGATGCCTGTCCTACACATTAATAGTGTATTGTAAAGATTAACACAGTGTAAACATTAACACAGTACTTACCTCCAACTGTTTAATGGCATCCTCTCTCTCCCGCAGCATCTCAAGATCTACATCTTCCTCCATCTGTAGAATCTGACGCGTCTGGGAGAACCTGTTAAATCAAACATAATGTAGAACTACTTTTTTCTGTGTGGTATTAATTTACGCTATGTATGCGTTCACAAATTGTTCCCAGAAATTTGTCCAAACGTATTTAATATACATGTAAGGTATATAGGAACAGTCTAAGAATTCCATGTAATTTTCTACCCCTGGATTAATCAAAAATTGAGATTCCGCGGAATTAATACACCTTGGAAAAAAAGTATGTCAACAGTATTATCATCAAATACTGTTAAAGGTGTACAGACATATCTGGACATAATCATTGCTCTGTTTGAAGACAAAATATAGGCATTAGTGAATAGACACACAAATCTGTAAAAAATCAAATGATTTTTATCTATATGTAAGAAATAAAACTCAGGGGTGTGCAATTAGCATCACCCGACGCCCGGGGCTACCACTTTTTAGGGTCGGGCTGGTGATTTTCTACATGGAGGTAGCCCGTCGGGCTAGTCAAAATTATAACTACACACGCAATACATGAAAAGCACAACCTGTATTTTCACTTGTTTTTGCTATCAAATTCCCAGCTAGTGAAAATTTTTCTGACAACATGCTCCTGCACTCAATAATTCTCCATAATCTTTTCTGGTTTGCAGCACTACCTGACTTATTTACTTCCAAAAACGATCGTTTTTTTCCTAATCCGAATTTCCTCTATTCTTTTGTTTATGGTAAATACATACATATTTCTCATTAAATTATATACGATCACTAAATCAACTGAAAGATAAGTGTTTTATGACTCACATAAAATATATTTATAGTGTATTTAATGATTTAAGATGAAAACAAAATGAATTAAATTTCATTCTATTAAAATGAGCTAGTGCAATATTCAGAAAAAGGGAAGATAATTTATTTAAATTCATTTTAATCTTCTTTCATTATAATTTATACATGATTTAATTTCATAGTGAGAATTAAACTTTAATTTTAAAAAGAATGACCTCAGTACCCTGACTTTTTCAACAATTAATTTCTTTTTAACAAATAGTTTTTTTATTTT